AGACCTAACACAAGACCTAACACAAGACCTAAGACCCAAGACCTAACACAAGACCTAACACAAGACTTAACACAAGACCTAACACAAGACCTAACACAAGACCTAAGACCCAAGACCTAACACAAGACCTAAGACCCAAGACCTAACACAAGACCTAAGACCCAAGACCTAACACAAGACCTAACACAAGACCTAAGACCCAAGACCTAACACAAGACCTAAGAACCAGGACTTAACACAAGACCTATGACCTCCGATCTTAAAATTAGACAGCCTCTCATCAGGCCCAAGTAGTCCTGACAAGCCAACTTGTTGTCATACTACCCACACCCACCCATTCAACACTCCAACACACCCAAACACTGGCACCTCTCCCTTTCCTAAGTGGGTCTCCCGTCCGCCCCACCCCTCATCTACTTTACAACACAACCTAGTCCGTTAGCTGGACTTATGCCTGTACTTCCTATCCCAATCCATATTCTTTTGGGACGAGTCCCAAGGATGTCGGGAGTCCCAAGGATGTCGGGAGTCCCAAAGATGTCGGGAGTCCCAAAGATGTCGGGAGTCCCAAGGATGTCGGGAGTCCCAAGGATGTCGGGAGTCCCAAGGATGTCCCTTGCCCGCTACCAAAACACTGGGCACAGCTCCCAGCTCCTAATAAGTCGTCGGTCACACTCCTTACCTCCGACACTCATAAATCCTAAGTCACCAGGCCGCTTTCATCAGCAACATTCGCATCCTACAGGAGAGGACTCAGAAAATCCTGTTGGTCACATAGGATACTCACTTCATCTTCTCCCCTCAAAGTGAAGACGAACGCCACTGAGGGAACTGAATAGATCCATCACCCAGCCCATCCCCAACTGTGCAGCCCCAATTTGGTATCCCATGCAAATATTGGGGTGTCCCGAAAAGATGTTTTCTCGAAAATGGGCTATCCCGAAATTTGGGTGTCCTTAAAATGGGATGTCCCGAAATTGTGAATAAATAAATTTGGGCATCCAGAAATGGGAGGTCTCATGTGTGTCCCACACTTTCTGCAAGCCCTAATTTTCTAGTATTCATTGTATTAAACCTTCTCATCATTTACGTAGTAATCCAGCCATGAATGAATGATTGTATAATGAATATCACATCAATACAATTATTGCCCGTCAGATGTCGGCGCTGACCGTGAACGGGTCGGGCCCGTGGACACCGTGGCTGTACGGGCAGACGTACGCCAGCGACCTGGACGAGACGACCGTCCCGGGCACCCCCACGGGGCTAGTGGGTACGTCGGGGGGGGGGGAGGGAAGGAGGGAGTTTATTCCCTAACACAATTCAGGGACCGCCTAGGCTTCGGCCGAATAGTCGCTACACTCGGGGCAAAGTTATTCAAGGTCTGCTTTGTCGCCCGATAGAAATCAGTTTCTGGTCAGAATCTCCTTAACGACTTTACAGTCGCCTGAGAGTATGACACGAGTTGGCCGAGCCTGGTCATACCGAGCCAGCAAGCTGCCCAGAGGCTGCCCTTCAAACCCTGAGCCGAGGCTGATATTAGCGGCAGATTTACGTGCTCCCCGAGTCCGGGGCGGCCGTAATGCAGTGTCGCGCACGCCTCTAAATTTTGTTTGGTTTTTAACCCCGAGGGGCTAGTGGGCACGTCTTTGGGGGGAACCCTATCAAAATTTTGGGTTGGTTGCGACCCTGAATTAGGAACCGGCTAGGACTCGGACCGAACGTAAATCAGTTTCTCTAGGTCCGCTTTTCGGTCTACATTCCGGTCCCCGAATCAGACAGCTACAAGCGCCTGGTCCTTATTCTGCCAACTCTTGCCCTACTCTCAGGAGACTATAAAGTCGGCCAGGAGGTTCTGACTAGTCGCTGATTGCGATTAGTTGGTCAACCAGACCCAGAATAACTTCTATGCGAACATAGCAACCCTGGGGCGGAGGCTGATGCATACCCCGAATTTTGTTAGCGTTAGGTGCTCCCCGAGTCCTGGGCGGCCCTAATGTTAGGGTTGTGCCCCCACGGGGCTAGTAGGTACGTCTGTGAAGGGAAATGTTCCCGCTGTTCATTTGTTCTCGTGTCCCCAGCAAACGCCAAGAGCTCCTCCGTGAGCGTGCGGTGGGAGGCGCCCAGTTCCCCCGGGGGCGGCGCCCTCGTGCGGGGCTACACCGTCGGCTGGGGGCGCGGCATCCCCGACGTTTACACCAAGATAGTGGACGCCACCAAGCGGCGGTACACCATCGAGCACCTGGGTGGGTGGTGGTGGTGGTGTGGTGGTGGTGGTGTGGTGGTGTGGTGGTGGTGGTGTGGTGGTGGTGGTGGTTGTTGTTGTTGCCCCGCGCCCGATCCCGGGGTCACTGGTCCAGCCGTGGCTGGAGCCAACGCACGACCGCAGCTGGGTCCCTCCAAAGGTCTATGGTGCTGAGGGGCGTTGGGTTGTTAGGGCAGTCGAAGAGGTGGGGCACATCATCCGGGGAGAGGTGGCAGTAGTTGCACAGGTTATTGATGTTATCTTTGATTGCGGATCTTTTATCTTGCAGATCTTTTATCTTGCGGTTCTTTGAAGTGTTTGTTCAGATTTATCTATTGTTGGGAGCGGATGAGGCCAGCCGTTGAGCAGAACTGGTGGGTGGCACGAGTCGATGGCAGCTCGGGCAGCGTTGGCATGGAGAGTACTGCTAGCTGCTTTGAGAGTGGCACTGTTAATAGTGGCTGGAAGTGAAGGTTGAACGGCATTTATGTATTTGGTGAAAAGAGTATCTCTGATGTTGCGGGGTTGGGGGTGCGGTCTTGTGGTTTGGTGGCAGGCGTGTTGAGGGAGGTGGCTCCGCAGAAGGTACTGGGCTGAGAAGAGGTCCGTGTGTTGCAGAAGACAAGGTCTGCACCCTGAAGACAAGGTCTGGACCCTGAAGACAGGGTCTGGACTCTGAAGACAGGGTCTGTACCCTGAAGACAGGGTCTGGACCCTGAAGACAGGGTCCAGACCCTGGAGGCAGGGTCTGGACCCTGAGGACAGGGTCTGGACGTGGCTCTGCAGAAGGTACTGGGCTGAGAGGAGGTCCGTGTGTTGCTGAACAGTGAGCATTTGACATTTGGAGTGAAGATGTTGTTCGGCAGTTGTGTTGTGGCAACCGGTTATGGTTCTCAGAGCAGAATTTCTAACTGTTTGGTGGCGGGTGATGTTGGTAAGAGAGGTGACATGAGACCAGGCTGGGCTGGCGTAAGCCATTATTGGGCGGCCGATGGCTGTGTATGTTTGTAGTAGGGTTTCCTTGTCTTGTCCATAGGAGGTGCCTGAGAGTGCTTGCAGTATGTTGTTGCGTTGTGAGGCTTTTGCTGCCGTGGTTCTGTGGTGGGCGGTAAAGGCGAGCATGGTACCAACGGTTAAGCCAAGGATTTTTGGGTTGTGTTCTAGCGGGAGTAGTTGATTGTTGATCTTGACTTGAGGGTAGAGGTTGTACTGGGCCGTGTGCGGTGTAATGAGGGTGACTGTTGATTTGCTGGCAAAGATTTCCAGTTTGCGGTGAGTGAAAAAGTTGCAGAGTTGAGGGAGGTAGTCGTTGAGTTGTTGGGTGAGAATGTCGGCGTTGGGATCAGTGCTGTAGATTGTGAAATCGTCAGCATAGGAGATGATCTTGATGTTGGGTGGTGATTGGGGTGCCTTAGAAGTTGGAGACAGTAATTGTAGAGGGCAGGAGACCGGACGGAGCCCTGTGGAACACCCGTGTGGATTATTCGGTGTTTGAAGTTTTGATGGCGGAATGCCGTTGAGGCAGAACGGCCGTGTAGGTAGTTGGAGATCCAGCGGGTGATGGATCCGGGTAGTGGGGAGGCGAGAAGGTCGTTGATCAGTATCCGGTGGTTGACGGTGTCGAGGGCTTTAGTGAGGTCCAGTGCGGCGATAATGGTTCAGTGAGCAGACTTCTTTTGGTTAAAACCGTAGACGATGTCTGTAGTGAGAAAAATGAGTGCAGACGTGGTCGAATATCCAGGCCGGAATCCATGTTGATGATCGGCTAGGGGCAGGTGGTGGGTGATAATAGGTAGCAAACATCTTTCTAGGACTTTGATGACGGGGCAAAGCAGGGAGATTGGTCGGTAGGATTTAGCGTCATTGCCGGGTTTGATCAGCGGTATGACTTTGGCGGATTTGTAGATTTCGGGAATTGGGCATGTGCGGAGGGACTCATTAAAAAGGCGTGTCAGGTAAGTGATTCCGAGTGGTCCAAGATATTTGAGGTGAAAGATGGTTAGTTTGTCTGGTCCAGTGGCCTTGGAGAGACGGGATTGTTTGATTGCGTTGGCCACTTGTGCCGTTGAGAACGAGGGACTGTCTGATAGGTAAAGGTTCTTTGACTTCCGGGTTGTGATTCCATTGAGTTTATTAGACCTGTGTTGAGTGACAGCCGTGAAGAGACTGTTGAAGCGATCAGCAAGCTTTTTGGTGTTATTGATGGGCCTCTCATTGAAGTTGATGGCGATATTGGGGTAGTTTTTAGGTTTGCTGGCCAGGGCCTTTATTGTTGACCAGAGGCGGTTTACGTTGGTATGGCGGTTGAAGGTAGAGAGGTATTGTTTCCATCGGGCTTTTTTGTTGTCGTTTATGAGCTGGGCCTATACTTTCAAAAAAAGTTAAGAGATCGTAAGTTCATCAGCCAATAATTGACGGGCTTTCAAGCAAAATCCACTAATCATAGACAAGAAAATAGAGCGTATGTACTTACGTTCACTTAGCGAGTTTTGAAAATAGAGCGTAAGTACTTACGTTCACTTAGCGAGTTTTGAAAATATGGCCCCTGGTGGATACGGACAGTGAGGGCTGCTACATCGTCGGAAGTGGGGTTGATGATGTCTTTGGTGAGGCCCGGCTTGTCTTTGGTCGGATGTCTTTGGCGAGGCTCGGCTTGTCTTTGGTCGGAAGTCTTTGGCGAGGCCCGGCTTGTCTTTGGTCGTATGTCTTTGGAGAGGCCCGGCTTGTCTTTGGTCGGATGTCTTTGGTGAGGCCCGGCTTGTCTTTGGTCGGATGTCTTTGGAGAGGCCCGGCTTACAGCCCGTGTACGAGCAGGTGCGTGGTGACGGGCAGCCCGTGTACGAGCAGGTACGTGGTGACGGGCAGCCCGTGTACGAGCAGGTGCGTGGTGACGGCAGCCCGTGTACTAGCAGTGCAGTTTCTGGGCAGCTTGCGGGCGCGGTAGGCTTGGCCAAGCCAACTTTTACCATACGTACCATAAATCCGGCAAAGGCTATTCTAAATAGTTTTTTTTATCTGAGACTGTTGTGTGATGGGGAACAGTCCCCCAGGGGCCGAACAGTCCATAATAATCCCCCCTGTGCCTCCAGGTGAACACCCGTCCCCCCGACCCCGACCCGCCCCACCGGCTGAGGACCCCCCTCGCCCTGAAGGCGGAGGTGATGACGGCGTACAGCGTCGCGCTCTCCTGGACAGACACCGCGCTCAATGACAACCAGGTGGGGGGGGGTGATGTGGGGGGTGTAGGGGGGAAACCAGGTGGGAGGGACTAGGGGCACGGTGATGTAGGGGGAGAGGTTGTTGGGGGGTAACCAGGTGCAGGGGGACTAAGGGGATGATGATAGGGGGTTATGTGTGGGAGGTTGTCAGGTGGCAACTAGGGGGTAACCAGGTGGGGAGGGGCGAGGATTAGGGGGATGGGAATGTAGGGGAGATGTGGTCAAGGGGGCAACTAGGGGGGTAAGAAGGTGCGGAGGGTGGACTAGAGGGTGGTGATGTATGGGTGCAACCTTGGGAGAATGTAGGGGTAGTTGTCAGGGGTAACTATTCGGGTGGCGCTGAAGGTAATCAGGTAGGGGAGAAGGAGGGTGCAAGCAATGGGGGGTGTAAGGGGGTGGTAGCAGGAGACACTGAAATGGTAAGTTGGAGCAACTGGGGGGAGGATAGTTAGGGGACTAGGGGTTATAATGATAATATCTCCCCCCTCTCCAGTCCCCCCCTCCACACTACAATAACCCCCCCTCCCCCCGCAGTTCGTGGGGGACCGGGGCTACTACACGGTGCGCTACACCAGCTACGCCTCCGCCAGCTCATCCAGCCCTCGCTACAAGTGAGTCATGGGGTGAAAGTGGGTCATGGGGTGCAAGGACGTAGCAGTCCCAGGCCACGCTGTCCAATAGTCTTAAATGTAAATCTCATTTAAGAGGGACTATTGGGCTATTGGACGCTGTCCAATAGTCTTAAATCTCAATGAAAAGAATTTAATAAATTATTTTTTCAAATACAGGGTCCTCTAAAAAAAACCTCCCTGATTACAATAGGCTTTTGCAAAAATCATACGACACATACAAAACAATTAATTTTATTTGTGAATAGCTCATTTGATGCCATTTTATTAATAAACCTCCCCGGTTTGAGGAAGCCACTGCATGAGTTGTAGTGGGGGTAGAGAAGGGGAGGGGGTATCAGTTCCTGAGTACGTGCCGTTCTCAGTCTGTGCCATGGCTTGGCACGGTGAGCATCGGGCGTTTGTTGTGGAAGAGTTTATTACAAATGCCGGTTCTGTGATTTCTACTCAACGAGCATTTCGGATTCGATTCAAACTTGGCCGACAAGAGAGTGTTCCTGATGCGAAAACGATTAGACGGTGGGTCTCAAAATTTAGACAAACAGGGTCAACACTAAAAAGAAAGCCACCTGGCCGACCTCGTACTGCAATAACACTGGAGAATGTGACGCGAGTGAGAACATCCATCCAAGAGTCTCCAAAGCGGTCAGCGTTAAACATGCAGCTGCCCTGGCATTGTCAGAAACGAGTGTATGGAGAATTCTGCATAAAGAACTTCAAGTGTATCCCTACAAAATGATGGTTGCCCAAAAGTTGTCTGAAGGAGATGTTGAAACTCGCAGGGCTGCATGTGATGAAATTTTGCAAAACATTCCCCCAGATGCTGTCTTCATTTCTTCTGATGAAGCCCACTTCAACTTGTGTGGAACTGGTAACAAGCAGAATTTCCGCTACTGGGCAGCAGAAAATCCCAGGGAAGTCCACCAACAACAACTACACAGCCCAAAAGTCACAGTTTGGTGCGCCGTTGCAGAATTTGGTGTGTGGGGACCGTATTTTTTTGAAGAAGATGGACAAACAGTAACGGTCAATGCCGATCGCTATTGTCACATGATAGAGACATTTCTTCGACCCTGTCTCTTATACACATCTAGATGTGTATAAGAGACAGCATTAAGAGTTATGCCCAGAACTGCGGTGGAGTTTATTCTTGGAAGCCCAAATTTGGCTCTGCCTGATTGGAGTCGAAACCGTGTCACCCCAACCCAGCACCACTGAGCACACACAACTTCCGAGTGCACATAACGAGGGGGTAACTCAGCCAAAATGAGCTTACTTCAACACCCCGTTTACAATGTACAAAAC